AAAAAAAAAAAGCAAAATTGAATAAACTAACAAAACATCATTCAGCATGAGCTTGCAACTCTAAAAAATTCTCCTTTTAAAGGACCCAGTAAATGGCAGAACATTACGTCTCGACGGTGAGCTTTGAGGTAGCACGTTGTTTATGCTTTGTTGCAAGAAGTCATCCTCTTCAGCTAGAACAATAAAAAATCACCACGATGAACAAAAGCAACAAAAAATACTACAAACAAATGTAAGAGGTGTTTAAGAAAATACGAAATAAAAAACGATACTTCGCATGCTGGAAGAATCCGAATGCATTCTACTAGTAGACGCGGAAGAAAAGTTACGAATTTCACTAAACATTTTTCTCGGTACAGGCGAAGGCTTCGGCTGCGCTTGTTCTATCATATCAGAAAGAAATTCATCATTCACCTCCAACCTATAATTATCCTTGTAGACGAAAAAAAACAGCACATACCGACAGAACAATTAGACACTGAAAATAGATTGAAAAATTTCATAAACCAAAAACCTTTTAGGCATTACAGCTTCTATAGACTGATTCAAAAGTTCAGAGTCAGCAGTTCCATTGAAGCTGCCGTAATCGTCCTCGTCATTCACGGAACTCTGCTGACTTCGAGAGCCTAGAGGAACAAAAAGATTTGCTAAGAAATATAATAGAACTATGAAAACCTGAGTAACATAAACTCCAGCAGATAAAAAGAATTCCTTACTTTCTTCAACATCCATTGCTTTACCGCTAAATGCGTTTGAGCTGCTTTTTTCATCACTGAGATACCAGCTGTCCAACCTAGATGCAGTCTGCAACACTTTTTCAGTGCTATCGGACGGCAAATCTGCTCCATCACCTTCATAACTGCTTTCTGTTGGTCCACTAACTCCCTCAGAAGTTTGTCCAGATAAATTTTCCTTATTTTTTGAAGCCGCATACTGAGTCGGAGAGTCAGGTAATTCAGAAGCACTAACAGGTGACAGTCGGTTGCTATTGACTGCGGAATTGTTGCAGCTATTCCATCCACTTTTTTCACCCTTCAAAGACAATGGGAACATGAGCCTCAGAACAGCACAAAATAAAACTAAGTTATTCTCTGCCACTAAAATATCCGACTTTCCCAAAAAATTTTGACAAAAAAAAATTCTTTCAAAAATTTGGTGATGTACAGAGCAGTCCGTACAAACTCAGCGAGTGCCTTTGTGTTAACCGCTGTTAGCTTTGAGATTCTTCCCTACAACGTATAAATTAAGATGTTTAGAATTAAATAAAATGCAAGTTCCACATCAAAAATTTAAAACTTAAAAAAAAATAACCGGAAGCAATGAAGAAAGTGATTGAGTGCTAGACCCTCTGGTACAACGAACACTTTCTTCAATCTCAAAAGATGGATCATCGTCGCCCCCAAGATCGCACAAATCGGGATTAGACCCATTAAAACCAATCCCGTATGTTTCTGAACCTCTGAACGCATTTTTTTGGGAGTAATTGAAGTCAGATACTTCAGACCTTCTCGTGCTTGTACTTGCAGCATTTCTAAATAAACAACGTATAATCTGGAAACTTAAAAGATGCCGTGATACTTCAGGAGATAAAAGCAATCTTAA